ATATATATATATATATATATATATACGTATATTATATAGCACATTAATTTAATATATATATTAAATTATATAATATTTAAAATTATACTCTGGTGAGCTGCTAGGGTTGAAAGCTGCTGTACTACATGGACTAACTTGTGGCCATAAGATGAATATATAATTAAATGCTGCTCCAATCTAGACACAATACGTACTGGAGGGCTTCAGGGAAGGCAGCAAGCAACCGCAAAGGTGAAGAGTAGGGAAAAGCCGCAGTGAGGAGGACAAAAACCTTCCTGGGGAGGGGAGAGGAGCTTTTTTTTTTTTTTAGGTTAGGCTGATTTATAAGTGCTGCTCTGGGCAGTTACAGAATTTGTTTACAATGAGCAGTTATTTGACTTTGAACATACTGTATGTGGCAATTAGAAGTCCTCATGGCAAGACACAGCTGGCCTGCCTCAGCCAATACAAGAACCAGAAAATGGTAGGGGAAGTGAAGGAATAAAGGTGGAGTTTGTTTCTTATTACAAAAGAAAAAAAATAATTCCTTAGCAGCCTTAACAAAGAAAAGGAATATTTCACGCTGGGAGGAAAGACAACAGGATACAAAATTACAAGTGTTTTTGTTCCAGCGCTGTCCCTGTCTCCACCAAGAGCAGAGGTAGGAGACAGCTGAAGCAACAAGCAATTCTGTAAAAATTACCTAGAAACCCTACAAATTTGATTAAAATCTAAACTTCTATAATTTTGCTTTTTAAAAAATTTAATATCAAAAGGCCTGCTTTAGTGACATGCTATTTCTACCAGAAAATAACCCCAACATCTCCTCTGTCAGTAACATGCTCAAGTTGACCAGCCAACTCTTATCTCTAAACCCATGTGGACAAGTGTCTTTTAAACCAAAGTCACGGACAGGAAGTGACTGCTAGTAACATTTGTCATCTGTTAACTAACCAGTGTCCACCTTCTCCAGAGGGTGGGCAGGGCAGAAACCCTAAAGTGATCATGAGGGCCTAGCCCCCAGATCACCATCTAAGAACCACTTCCCTCACTCCCTACTCAAAAGGAGATAATTGATTTCTAATCCAGACTATCTGCTTCAAGTGTGGTACTCCTGTGACCTGGTTTTTTCCTTTAGCTAGACACACATTATCCACAAAACCATATATATAATTTTTTGTCTTTACATTTAAATATAAAAATACTATTCTGCTTTGTGTGATAAATCAAGGACCAAGCAATAAGAACCTTTTCCTCTTTCAAGGTAGGGATATCCATCAGTTTATACCGAACTTTGTGTTTAGAGCAGGGCATTTAGTCCCAAGCCAGGCTAGTCCCACAAGCAAGAGACCAAGGCCATTCTCCCTGATTCCCACCCCTACCCTCTCTCCTAATTCCCACTTTTAATAGAAAAGTTGGTTATAATCTCTTAAGAAAAGTTTCCACCACGAGGGTATTTTTAAAATGTGATTTCAGCCAGGCATTGAAGTTTACTCCCACCACCGGGGCTTTTTTGGGGGATGCCTGGGCCTTAAAAAACACTAGCCAAACTCGCATAACTCCCCAAATATATATAATTATTAACTTAATATATATTTTGTGGATATATATATACACATTAGACAAAACTATAATTGTATATATGAGAGACAAATATATATATATATTATATATATAAAGTATATATTAGTAGGAGTATATATATAAATATAATGTTATATATATTATATATATATGCATTTATATATATACATAATATATGCATACACTGCTGAGACACACACCTCATCTTAACAAGCAACAATAGTGGGTCAAGCAGTGCCTGATTATCTTATCATCAGATATTTAATCCCAAACATATATATGTGTATTTTATATATTATATATATATAAAAATATATATATAATATATAATTAAAAATATATATATATATATATATATATATTTTTTTTTTT